AGGTGTAAGCTTAGCTCAGGAAGAAGAGTCATCATGGGTCTCCACTTCCGGCAACGTCACCACTGCCCTGCTGGGGCCCAGGCTGCTTCTGCCCGGCCCCAAGGACGTCACTCGCACAGTTCCGGGGGTGCTGCTGAATGACGTCACCTCCACCCCTCCCTGTGGAGCGGAAGCAGGGCCTAGTTCTCAGGATGTGTTCTTCTCACCTTACTGACAATTCTTGTAAAATAATTTTCTGTGGGATCCTTGCTTTTTCTAAACAACTCTACATTAAAACAGCAATTGAGGGTTTTTCTAATATAGGCTAATAAAAAATTAGGATTCAATATTTACTTTACCTTCAAATCCTACAACTGGAGTCTTGGAATTAACAAAAAGTAAAATTGCCACGTGCCTTTTAACTGTCAGTGGAAGGGTGTGAAATGAAGGCCTGTTTCCACCAGAGGGAAAAAGAAAACTCAAGGAGATGGGCTGCTGTCCTTAGGGCAACGCTACTGGGTTCAGATCAGACCCTGGTTAAGAGGAGAATTTCAGTGTTGCAGGAGAAGCAAATGCTGTTGGAGATTGGATTGCACCGGGAGACCCCCGCAAGATAAGGGAGAGATTACGGTTAACACCTTCCACGCCTGTCCGAAGCCAGTCCTTTGCTTGGGTCTCCCTCCTCGCTGTAAACGTTCTTGTCCTTGGGCAGAGGGACAGGTACTGCTTTGCTTCTTCTCATCCTATCTCAGCTCCCCGGGGTTTATAAGCACTTCCCTGCCAGCACTGCAAGTATGAGGTTACCTTCCGGGTTCTCTCTGGCGCCTCTTGAAGCCCGTGCGCCCAAGGCTGGGGGTTCTCTCAGAGCCCCTCTCGCCTTCCCTTTGGTCTGCTGGCTCAGCGTAAACGCGCTTCTTTCTGCAGAGCGCCAACCGCATCACGCGGAGAGCTGGGTCAGGGTGCAAAGGTTTAAAAAGGGAAGCGGCCGCGGTGCAGACAGGCCTAGAGAGGTTAGTTCTCAGCAGCCGCCCTGCCTGCGAGGAGTCCTCGTGTGCGAACAGGCCCGGGGCCCGGGAAGGCACTCTCGGTTCTCGTGGGGCCTAACGGCGGTACCACTTAAGTGTGCGTGGATCCGGGGCGCACGAGGGCGAAATACGCCCTGAGAATACCAAATGGGCTCACCGGCTCCTGGTTACTAAAAGCCTCGTCTGGGCTTCTCTGGTGGCGCAGTGGCTGAGAGTCCGCCTGCCGATGCAGGGTACTCGGGTTCGTGCCCCGGTCCGGGAAGATCCCACATGCCGCGGAGCGGCTGGGCCCGTGAGCCATGGCCGCTGAGCCTGCGCGTCCGGAGCCTGTGCTCCGCAACGGGAGAGGCCACAGCAGTGAGAGGCCCGTATACCACAAAAAAATAAAAATAACAATAAAAGCCTCGTCTGTCGGGGTCGTCTGGAGTGAGATATTTTCCTGGAACGCAGCTCTGAGCCCAGAGTGTGGAGACGTTCAAAACAGCACGAAGCACAGAACTGCCAAAGGCATCTGAAATCCAGGACATTCCAAAGCCTGCGCGGGAGGGAGCGGGCTGGGGAGGCCGGGGCGCACGGTGCGGAGGGGCGTGGGACTGCTAACTCGAGGGGGCAGGTAGGCGCGAGACCCGGCGGCCTGAGCGGGGATCCGGCACAGCATCCTTAGCCCTTCCCGGGCGGAGGCCTCCCCTCTCTGGATGCCGCGGCCCCTCCCGGAGCGGCTGGACCTCGCTTGCCCCTCGCCCGCGGTCCTTGGCGGCCCCCGCACCCGGACCTCCCGTGGGCTTGGAGGAGCCGCGGCCAGAGAGAGGGGCGCGGTGTTTTGGCACGGACGCTTGGCCCGGGAGCTCAAGGCACAGCGCCCGCCCGGCGGGTCCCGCCCCGGCAGGGACGCAGGGACCGCCCGCCCAGTACCCCTATGCGCGGTCCTCCAGTGCGCAATCCCCCACGCCTGGTGCCTCCGCGCCTGACCCTCCCCGCGCAGCGGCAGCCGAGGCGTCCGCATCTCCCTCCAGCGCACTCTGCAGCCATGGCCGCCTCCTCCGCGCGGCCCGCCGCCCTGGTCATGCCAGCGCTGGCTCTGCTCCTGCTGCTGTGCGTGGGCCCAGGTAAGGGGGCGATGCCAGGGCGCCGGGGAGAGGCTCGGTGAGGGCGTGGGGGCTAGGCGCCCATTCTGAGCCCGGGCAAGGGCCGAGGTTTGACAGGGGGTCCTGGGTTCTGCCCTTGCGCGGTGGGAAGTGGCGTGCTTGGGTCAAGGGCAGGGGCTCGGATGTGCGCGGCAAGCTTGGAAAAGGAGGCGGAGAAGCCTCGGGCTGAACGCGAAGCGCCGGGCGCGGTGGGCGCTGTAGGCGGATGGTGCGCCCAGGGCTGAGCGGAGCCGAAGGGCCATCCCCAGAGTGCCCACCAGGCGTTCCCTTCCCGGCGCTTTGGCTCGGTCAAGTTCCAGGTCTGCAGAGCAGCGAGCGGGCCTCACCTCCCAGCTGGGGAAAAGTTCTCAAGCGAGAAAGGCTTAACTTTCTCGGCTTCTTGGAGCCCTCCGTGAATGGGTTGAAAATCCCGGTTCCCTACAGAATGCGCGCATTCACACACACGCCGTAAATGCGGCGGGTTTGGGGTGTGGACTTTTGAACCCTGGGGAGCCCACATCCCCACCGCAGAAGGGCGACCTGAAATCAGAGGTTTTGCCCTGACAGTGCACCTCCCCTCCTACCGTCCTTCCCGGCTCATGCCGGCAAGGGGCGCCGCTGAGGCTCGGGGCTCTGAGAGGCAGGGGTCATGACCCCAGGTCTACGGCGAAGTTGCTGAGGCTGGAGGGCGGGAGGTGACTTGCCTAACACCCTGAGGCTGGTGCATCTTCCACCGCAAAGCAGCCGCACGGTGGGGTGGAAAGGCAGGACCCCGTTGGTGCTCAGCTTCGGCGTTTTGGATGTTCAGCGCGGGCTGTGTGTGTGGGGGGCAGCAGGAGCCCTGGGAGGGGGGTGGGGGGAGGATGACGGCTGTTCTAATCTAGGACCACTGGGGGGCCAGTCCATCACTCCCCATCGCGTGCTTTATCACCTCCCTCTTTGTTCCTCCCATTTTAAGAAGCACATCTGAATACAGCAAGTGGGCATCGGCTATAAGCTAGTCCTTTTCAGAACTTGTATTTTATTTCGTTCATACCGAGAATGCAGCGATAGGAATCAGTTAAAATATTATCATCATTGAGCTGGAATGTGAAAGTTCTTAGGACACCAAATGAAAATCGTTTTGTAGAGTGTAGAAACGCTTTTAGATCTGAATCAAAACAACAATAAATGGTACAAATAATGCCTGATTTTAAGACAATCAGGGCAAGTTACAAAACGGGGCTGAGCTTTTAGAGCACTAAGCCCCATGCCTTGACTTGTGGTGGAGAACCTCCACTTCTGCCTCCGTCTTCCCACGACTGCCTTCCCTGTGGCCTCCCCTCCTCTTATAAGGACACCGCCGGTCACTGGGCCTAGAGCCCACCCTCAACCCGGCATCATATCACCTCGAGGTCCTTAACTCATTACGTCTGCAAAGATGCTGTTTCCAGATAAGTTCACATTCGGAAGTTCTGGGTGGGTATGAATTTGGAGGGACACTAGTTGATCGACTGTACCATGAAAAGTTAAGTCTGCAGGCAGGTGCATATGACAGGTGGCTGCCCGAATATTATGACAGAAGTGCTCAAAGGACAACGTCACTTTTCCTGGAGAACAGCTCAGATGGTCTCCAGTAGCTCAAAGTGCCCTGCTCGGCCATGGTCCTTGTCACTAGTCTGAGCCACAGGCAGCCTGAATTGCTTTTTCTACACAACAGGAAATGCAACGAGCATTAAATAATGTAATACTACCAAGTTGCTAAAGCAACATAGGGGTATGAAGTGATTTTTTTCCAATGTGGATTTTTGCATGTGAGAAATTTAAGGGCGCAGTGCAACCCTGAAATGATTTCCATTTTCATTCCTTTAGGTGGCATAAGTGGAAACAAACTCAAGCTGATGCTTCAGAAAGGGGAAGGTAAGTATAGCCCACACAGATAAGGGTTGCATTCTTAACCAGGCTGCAATGAAACAGCGATGTTGATGTCCTCACCTGAGGCTTGTGTTTGGAAAATCAAAAGTGTTTACTCCGTAGAAGGTTAGCAGATCTGAAGGGCTCGTCCTGTGGGGATGTGGGGCGGTATTTCATCAGGTAAATATTATTGCCAGTTAATGCTTTTCTGACAGCTGTCAGTGTGGACTCAGAAATAAAAGGAACAGAGCTGTAGTGTTAATTGAAGGCTGTTTGTTTTAGAATTGTGATACCCCTTAGAGCACATACCTGAATCGAGAGCACACACAGCCTCCGTTCTGGGGCAGCACAGAGCGGTATCGTGGGCGTCCTGCGTATCCAACTAGCTCTTGGGGGAGGGTTAAACAGAAAGACCGTTTTGTTACTGACACCTGTGGTGAAGAACCGGCCTCCGATAGATATGGTAACGCAGCAAAATGTCGTAGAAACAGAACTGTCTGGGAGCCACGCAGGTGAGTTCGGGCCCGCTGTAATCAGTTCGATCATTGTGTGGGCTTGTGAAAGCCATTCTCCCGCAGAACTTTCGTCTTCACCTGGAAATTAGCAAGTTATCTATCTCTTAGAATGAAGACTACATTTTTTTCCACATCTTTATTGGAATATAATTTCTTTACAATGATGTGTTAGTTCCTGCTGTATAACAAAGTGAATCAGCTCTGCATATGCCTACATCCCCGTATCTCCTCCCAAGACTACATTTCTGAGGTGAATTTTTAACTACTTATTCTTTCCCCTGGATTAACGGGGGCTCCAGGACGCTGAAGTCTGCTCCCCAATGGGGGGCGCCAGCGCTTATGCACCTGCTTCCTAGGTGGCCCCACGGGGACACCCCCCACACACACACACACACACCTGTTGAGCACACACGGCCCCTCTCGGGGGAGGGGCTCCTGGGGGAGCCGCCAGCATCTTCCCCGTCTCTTCCAGCTGCTCCCAAGGCCCCGGTCCACCCCCGACCTCCCAGGCCCCTCAGATGCCCCCTCCCCTCCCTGTGCTGGACAGCCATCTCCCGGGGACTCCAGGGAAGCCCTGGTGACGGGGGCCCTGGAGAGCAAACGGCCGAGGTGGTCATGACTCCTCCGTGTACATCCTCAGCTTTTGTTCAGCTCAAGCCAAGAAACACACATTGAGCACCTACTGTGTACAGAACAGTGTAACAGGCCCTGAGGGAGATGCACAGGTGAACAGGAGGTGAAAACACAAATGTGCTGCCTGATCTTTATCCACGTGACCAAGGGACACAGGGCATTTGACTGCCTTTTCCTGCGCAGCCTCCATAACGGGAAGCGGGCCCATCAGTCCCGTGTTGCAGATGAGGGCACAGAGGCTCAGAGCCGGGCAGCACTTCCCCGAGCACGCCTGCCGAAGCGGGGCCTTTTCTGCAGCTGAGTCCGCGATGGAAAGGCGTCCGGGGAAGCCGTGGGAAAGCGAGGGTCACCCCCATCAAGAGGCAGTCGAAGCGTTCATGGTCACCCTGCAGCCTGACTTGAGGACTCGCTGCTCCGCTGGGCTCGCTGGCCGGCCTGCTCAGACCCTTGCTCCAGCTCTTTCTCCCCTGGCCCCCTAAGCAGTCCCAGCACGCTCGTGTTTGTGCAGACAAGGCACGCGCAGCCAGCGGCACTGGACACCGGGCGGTTTCCCCGCGGCAGAGCCCAGGGGGAGCACCAGGGCCTGGGGCCCGGGGTCTGGGCCTGGTGAGGGGCTGCAGAGGCGGAGCTGAGTTCGGTTCCCGCCCTGGGCCTGTTACGTGGCTGTGCCTGGACAGGAGGGCTCGCTACCCCGGAGGCCGGGACAGACGGCGGGAGCCCGCACAGTACCCGCGCCCTGCAGGGAGGGTGTGCCAGTTAAGGCCACCTCCTGCCAGGTGGGGGCGGGGAGGGCGATGGAGAAGAGCGATTCACCCCGAGGAGGAAAGAACTCATTCTCTGCACTTGCGGGTGGGGAACCCCTCGTTTCAGCCCCTGCTCCCCCTACGACCCCGGTGGCCGTCCAGGAGAGCAGAGCCAAGGAGTTCCTGAGCAGCCCGGGGCGGCTCAAGCGGCAGCTGTGGGACCGCACGCGGCCCGAGGTGCAGCAGTGGTACCAGCACTTCCTGTACTTGGGCTTCGACGAAGCGGTGGGTGTTCTGGCTGGAGCCTGGCTTCCCGCCGGGCAGGATGGGGGTGCGGAGGCCTGCTTTGGGGAAACGGGCACAGAGAATTAAGTTCTGTTACCTGCCCTGAAGTCAGAGCCCCCATTCTGTGTCAAGAGCTGCCAGGTATTGGACCCGATGATCGTCAGGCACAAGGGTATTAGCTGGAATTTTCCATCCCACTATGCCCAAATGGGAACCTCTCCCATCAGGTTTTGGAAGCAGAGTTCCAGAGACATCCCCGCCCAAAGCGGCTGGGACTTAAATTCATCAAGAATCTGGTTTTCTTTGGGACTTTTTTAATGTATCTGGTCAGTTTTGCCTGAGTGTCCTTAATAATAACTCACCACCCCCTGAAACATTTTCCACTTTGCCTCAAACGTCAGAAACAGCAAGATCTATGCAAAGACCCATGAGGATAATGGAAAGAGATGCAAAGCGACTTTTAAAGAGAGACGGGTCTTTGCAGATGTTTTGGGGAAAATTTGTCAATGCATTTGCAGGAAGTACGGTTCAGTTCGTGTGTCCAGGTAGCACGAGTGGACATATTCACCAGATTAGGGAAAAAGACTGCTTATCATCACCGACTCCCACCCGGGGACCAGGCACAGATCAGCCAGCGGCGGAGTTAAGGTGTGAGATTCTGCTGCCCCGGAGCGAGTCTGCAGGGTGATGGACAGGGCTGTGCTGAGTGAGTCCTGATGTGGAGACCACAGCTCGCCGCCCCAGCCAGGGAGTGGATGGAGGGTGGCATCTCCCACGGAGGCAGCTGGAAGGGTTTTTCCAAACGGGCTCGTGGCTCATATTGTGAATGGAGGTGTATACAAAATACTGCAAGAGGCGAACAAAATTGAACTCTTCAGAAACATCTTTTTTTTTTTTTTTTTTTTTTTGCGGTACGTGGGCCTCTCACTGTTGCGGCCTCTCCCACCGCGGAGCACAGGCTCCGGACGCGCAGGCTCAGCGGCCATGGCTCACGGGCCCAGCCGCTCCGCGGCACGTGGGATCTTCCCGGACCGGGGCGTGAACCCGTGTCCCCTGCATCGGCAGGCGGACTCTCAGCCACTGCGCCACCAGGGAAGCCCTGCATTATTTCTGTTTTCATAAAATATTTTTAAAATTTTTTGGAAAAAAAAATATGTTAAGCCGAAACCTCAAACAAGATTAAAAAATGAGAGAAACCAAGGAATGAGCCTGCTTCACTAGGGGAAAATCTGCAGTATTGTGAGACAAGCCAGCTGTTTCCTTTTCAGGGCAGGGCCTGGGGGAGGGTCAGAGGAGGCTGCAGCCCCAGGCCCAGTGAGTAGATGGGGATGAGGGTTGAATCGTGGCCACGTGGTAAGCGTTTGTGGCCTGAATCACTGCATCCAGGCCTGTCTGAGCAACACAACAGGGGTGAGAGTGTCACCACCAGACGTGTCCAAATTCCCTGCCCCGAGGCTGCAATGTGGTTTCATGCACCACGTTTACGAAGCCCGCAGCCTGCGCAGCAGCCCAGGTGGGACGCGGAGGGGGTCAGCGTCTGCCACATCAGATGCACAGTGCCTGGGGACAGGCCCGGCTGTTACTGTATTGGGCAGATGTCCATTTTCTTTACTGAAAAAGAGAAAAATGTTGAAGTCTGGGGTATATTTAGAACTCACAGACAGACGTGTTCAAGGGTAGGGGTTGTACTCCTTTGGGGGAAAAAGTTTTCAGCGGTGTTTTCCATCTGGTTAGTATCGACCTCTGGCCCAGGGATGCTGTAGCCAGAAGTTATTTTTTTTAAAAAAATGATTATTTATTGTTTTCTATTGAAGTAGAGTTGATTTACAATGTTGTGTTAGTTTCAGGTGTACAGCAAAGTGATTCAGTTATACATATATTCTTTTCCAGATTCTTTTCCATTATAAGTTATTACAAGATATGGAATATAATTCCTCCCTGGGCTGTACAGTAGGTCCTTGTGGCAGGAGTTACTCTTAGGAGGGGTTGTTCATCGTTGAAGAAAAATCCCAGAGAAACAGCGTCCGTAAGATGTGCTCTGGGAAACGGTGTCCTTGAGTTCATCCCCTCTCATCCTCTTTCCTCCAGAAATTTGAGGATGACATCACCTATTGGCTAAACAGAGGTCGGAATGGGCACGACTACTACGATTACCACCAGCGCCACTACGATGAGGACGCTGCGATCGGTCCCCGGAGCCCCCATGGCTTCAGGCACGGAGCCAGCGTCAACTACGACGACTACTGACCGTCCCTCAGGCGGGCTCGGGGCCGCGGGCTCCACACCACGCCCGGCCTGTGTCTGCTGCGCCTGGTCTCGGCTCACCTTTCCTACCCGCTTTCTGTGGCCACAAAGGAAGTGTTAAAGCAGAGAACGTAAATGCCTTTCGAGATTTCATGCAAATACCTAACAATGCATTTCATTAAAAAATAGAAATAAAAGCATTTTGTTAAAAGGTCTCAGAGTTCATTTGGATGAAACTTGAGCTGGCGAGCGTTTTCCTTCCCTGCACGTTTCTGAGGTTGAAGCAATTTCTCAGAGGCACCTCCCCTCCAAGAATCCCCACCACCCCAGGCCATGGGACCGAGCAGGTGTATTCAATGTATTAGAATTCAGTCCACACTAAATGCCAAATTAAAAATAAAAATACAGCAAGAAAATTTAGCTGGAAATTATTTAAGGTCACAGAACACGTTTTGGGGGATTGAGGATCCACACGGCTTTGCAGATTCGCTGGGCACATCCCGAGCCGGAGGCGGACCTGTTTAATATTGTCAGGCAGGGAAAAGAGGGTAACAGAAAAAACACTGAAGTTTGGTTGATTTCAGAGCCTCCCTTGTCTTAAAAAAATTAAACCTTGTCTAATGAGCTCAAGAAAGATTTAAGAATATACATTGCATCATCATGTTTAAACAATCTGAGTGAATGAAAGAGAAAAGTGTTCTGGGGGTGGGTAGAGGGAGGGGGGGGAAGTGGGGAGGTGACACGTGCAGAGGGGAGGGGCCCGCAGAACGGCTCTTGAACTCGTGTGGGTCACAGACCCTCTGACAGCCTGATGGAAGCTTTCTCAGAAAAATGATACGTGATTTTGCATATAGTCTCTGAAACACACCCTCATTCACAAGCTGCAGATGACAAACTCCTGGGTTTGGTGAGAAGTACCTACCAGCGTCAGGGGACCAGTGTTTGTGGACAACCCTTTGGAATCCTTACAGCTTTTAAAACTTTGTGGTAAAACATACACAACATAAAATCCATCATTTTAAGCATTTTTAGACGTATAGTTCAGTGGGTCTGTAAACATCTCTTCATGTCCCCACGTTCAATTCTTTTGGGGATACACCCAGAAGTGGAATTATTAGATCATACGGTAACTCTGTTTAATTTTTTGAGAAATCACCACACGTTTTCCACATCAGTTGTACTACTTTACATTTTAATATAACATAGAGTTGTAATAGGGAAGAACACTTTGCATTCTCTTACAAGTTAATCACTAAAGGGACGTTGCCTATAAACTTAAATTGCACACAATGGCCCATCTCGGACCCTTGCCTCCGAGAGATTAAGGTAAATGAGCATTCAGCGAAAATACCTGTGTTTAGCTCCCAGGAAACCTCCTGAACAGGCCCACCTGTGAATAACTGCTTGAGGGAGAAATTAACACCTCCCCTCCGGAGGCTGACGGGAACCACGAAGTGCTTGGCTTTAGTCCCGCCCCTTTTGGTATAAAAGGAGCCTGAATGCTGACTCAGCTAGATGGTTCTTTGGGCGTCTGGCCCGCCATCTTGCTCTGCTGGCTTCCCAGGTAAACTCACTCTTCTTTGCCCCAGCAGCTCGGCTCAGTTTATTAGCCTGTCGTGTGGCGAGCAGTACAAGCTTGGACTTGGTAACGAATTTTGATGAAGCCACCCAGGAGCCTTGCTGCTCGTGGCCTGCCAGCCCTGGCTGGGGAATTCTGGGGTAAGACCCTAGCAGCTGCCGGGACCCCTTGTCCTGGGGATCTGCCTTCAGAGTTCTCTGAAGCAGCACCGGCCGCCCCAGCGCTGGGCAGTGGAAGGAAGGAATCGACGTTTGGGAGCCGTCGGGCTGCGTACGGTGGGGTAAGTGGCTCCGGTGTGAACAGCCGGGAACTTCATTCCTCTCCGTTTGGGGCTTTTTGTTTTGTTTTGTTTTGTTTTTGCGGCGTTTGGGGCTTTTTCTCTGGAACAAGCCAGTTTGTTTCGTATTGGAGTGGGGTGTACCCTGTTGGAGAGAGGAAAGAGTTGTTGGACTTTGACCCGATTCGTGAACTGGTTCGTTTGCTTCTCTGAAGGCTAGCACTTGTATGTGCTGTTTGTGTTTTACCTTGAATTTCTGTCTCCAAAAATGGGGAATGTTTACTACCAACTAAAGATTCTAAAGAACATCCATCGCCCCCGTTCAGTAGGAAACAGCCCGGGCAGCCTTTGTGCCTCTTCCCACAACTGTGGACTGGACGTTGACAGTGGGTAACGGTAATCGGGAAGAACCTCTGTATCCTGTTACCAGTTAATCACTAAGGCGAGGCTGCCTATAAGCTTAAATTCTCCATAACGGCCCATCTCTGGGACCCCTGCCTCCCAGGTAATGAGCATTCAGCTAAAATACCTGTGTTTAGCTCCCAGGAAACCTCCTGAGCAGGCCCACCTGTGAATGACAGCAGGAGGGAGAAATTAACACCTCTGCTCCGGAGGCTGCCGGGAACCAGGAAGTGCTTGGCTTTAGTCCCGCCCCTTTTAGTATAAAAGCCTGAATTCTGACTCAGCAAGAGGGTTCTTTGGGGCATGAGCCTGCCGTCTTCTGGGTTTGGGGTCTCTCTGAAGGAAGTCGTTATTCTTTGCCCAACAACTCGTCTCTCGATTATTGGCCTGTCCCGTGGCGAGCAGTATGAGCTTGAGTAACAGAGTTACATTAAAACTTTTGTTTTGGGCCTCCCTGGTGGCGCAGTGGTTGAGAGTCCGCCTGCTGATGCAGGGGACACGGGTTCGTGCCCCGGTCCGGGAAGATCCCACATGCCGCGGAGCGGCTGGGCCCGTGAGCCATGGCCGCTGAGCCTGCGCGTCCGGAGCCTGTGCTCCGCAACGGGAGAGGCCACAACAGTGAGAGGCCCGCGTACCACAAAAAACAAAACAAAACAAAAAACCCTTTTGTTTCTTTTCCTTAACTACTCTGGGGCTGGCGCAAAGCCCAGTGCAGTGTTGAGGGGGAGGCGGGGCGGGCGAGCTGGGAAGGACGTCTTCACTCTGTTCCTCATCTTAAATGTTGCCCTGCTTCTCCATAAAGTATGTTTGCTAGATGTTCTTGGTCGATGTCTTTTGTCAAGTTAAGGAAATTACTATTCTTTTAAAAATATGCTAAGAAAAATTTTGAATGTCATATATGGATACTGAATTCTAGTTTCTTTATCTTTGAGATAACATATCCTTTTAAATCTGGTAATTAACAACAGTTCTAGTAATACATTTCAATATTAATCAGTCTCATTCCTGGAATAAAAACTAACTTGATCATGATTTTTTTTCATTGTTGGATCTGGTTGGATAATATTTGTTCAGAATTTTTGCATCTGTTTTCGTGAGGAAGATTGGGCTGTAGTTTTCTTTCCCATTCCGTTTTGGGCAGTTTGGGTGTCCAGTTTATACTGTCTTCTTAAAATGAATTCTTTACTATTTCTTCATGTAAGAGTGGAATTATCTGTTTCCCGAATGTTTGGGAGCACTCTGATAAAGCCACTTGCATGTGGTGTTTTCTTCATGGTAAAATTTTTGACCGTTGAATGCATTTCTTTTACTGGTAAATGATGATTCTGGCTTCGTTTCTCTCCTTCAATCTGTTTCGCTAAATTCTATCTTTCTCAGTAGTCATCGATTATATGAGAATTTGAAGTGTGTTGAGAGTTGGTCTTAGTATCTTCTTATCTTTTTTCCTGTAACATCTGTAGTTATTTTTTCACTCCATTTCATTTGTGCCTTTTAAAAAAATGAATCTTGTCTTTTCAAACATGTAGTTTTTGCCTTGTTGATGTGCTTCTCTATTTCATAAATTTCTCTTAATTTCCTTCCTTCTGCATCTGTGGGTCTTTGATTTATGTTAGATCTTAGCTCAGTTTTGAGCCTTATTTTTTTTCAAAGGCAAATTCTTACCATTCTAAGTTTCCTTTCAAGAATTGTATCCCATGAGTTTGATGTGAAAAGTTAGATGATGAATTTGTCTAATTTCAATGATAATTTCTCCTTTGACCCATGAGTCGATTACAAGTGTTATTTCCAAGTGAATAAATTTTTCTAATTATCTTATTGGCTTTGTTTTCTAACTTAATTGCACTGCGGTTTTTAAACAATGTAGTCGGATCGTAATTCTTTGAAGTATACTGAGGCCAGCTTTACATCTGAGCATGTGCCAAACCAGCACGTGTTCACGTGTGCCTGAAAGAAATGTGTCTTTTCCAGACATCAGATGCATTGGCTCAAGCCCGATTGTGACAGTGTTCACATATTCTATTTTCTTACTAATTTTCTTGGTTCATTTGATCTACCGATTACTGATAAGTGTGTTAAAATCCACTATGACAATGGATTTGACAAGTTTTTCCTTTAATGCTGTCAGTCTGGCTTCACTCGAGGCTATACACAAATTCACATGGGACACACATCTAGAATCGATACATTTTCCCGGTGAATGGAATCACTTATTGTTACGCAGCAAATTTCCTTATTTCTAATGATGCTTTTGCCTGATTCTCCTTTGCTATTAATACGACTATATTTCGCCTCCTGTTGGTTACTAATTGCGTGGTCTGTCTTTTCCATAGTTGGGCCTTTTATCTTTCTGCGTGCTTTAGGTGTGTTTTTTGCAAAGAGTACATAGCTGAAATTTGTTTTGTTTTTAAAATAGGGTATAATTCTTAAGGTCTGAACAGGAGAATTTAGTCCACTTACACGTATTGTGATTTATGATTTCGTTTCTTTTTTAAAGATTTTGTTGTTGTTGTGGACCATTTTTAAAGTGTTTGTTGAATTTTCTACAATATTGCTTATGTTTTATGTTTTGGCTTTTTGGCCATGTGGCATGCGGGAATCTTAGTATCCTGGCCAGGGATTGAACCTGCACCCCCTGCATTGGAAGGCGAAGTCTCAACCACTGGACCTCTAGGGAAGTCCCTCGTGATTTGGTTTTATCTCTAACATTGCATTTTGAATTTTGACTTGTCCCGTTTTACGTGTTCCTCTCCCCCTTTTCCTCTTCTCTTGCCTTCATTTGGACCGTTTTCCTTCACTTATTCTTTTCCTTTCACCTCCTTTGAAGGTTGCACTGGGTCTGTTCTTAGTGTTTGCCCATTTAATCCATATTTAACAAGTTACCAGTCATCAGTAGCCATAGTCTTCTCCTGGACAGTACAAGGAC